AGAAAAAAAATCTGGTCGTTCGAATGAAGTTGACCTTATAAAGGTTTTCGTTCTAAGCAAAACATGAAAACTAATGACGTGACATCGGGACTTTGAAATGAGAGCTTATTAGCGGTGAAAACGAGGTATGTTGAAACAGGGTTCGACTAGCTGCGCGGCCGAGAGCCACCTGCCGGTGCCGCCGCCGAAGCCAACCGTCACCAATTTTGGTCGTGTCGGCTGAGCTTGGTCTGGGGGACTCCCTTTCAAAAGGGAGAGAAAGTTGCAGCCTTCGCGGACAGCCAGATGCAGGGGGTCTTTTTTTTTTTTTTTTTTTTGCTTTCATGGAGTTCTCTCGTGCTGGCAGAAAATTCAAGACAAGTCGTACCCCAAACAGAAAGAAAACATGAACCGCTCATAAACATCACGCTTGGAAAATTTGTTGAGCGACTTCCAGTCAGATTTACCGGAACGCTTGTCCATTTTGGGGTAGACGAAGAGAAAAAAAAAAAAAGCAACGCTTTGATCAACTGCAACACAGCATCAAATGTTTCAGACCAGCAATGGTCATGAAAAGGAACGACCCCGATGATGGGAAGAGACAACCGGAATCAAATCAAAGTACAAAACAGCACATATCAAGTCAAGTCTAAGACCCAGTCTCCAAACCGCATGCTGATGCAACGGTGACTATTTTGGCATTGCTTGTCTTGCACCCATTCCAAGGTTTCCCCCCCACATATCCAAACAAAAACTTTTACAAGCAGCTCTAAATTTCGGTGGGAATCAAATCAAAGTACAAAACAGCACATATCAAGCCAAGTCTAAGACCCAGTCTCCAAAACGCATGCTGATGCAACGGTGACTATTTTGGCGTTGCTTGTCTTGTACCCATTCCAAGGTTCCCCCCCCCCCCACATATCCCAACAAAAACTTTTACGAGCAGCTCTAAATTTCGGTGATGGAAAATCTCCGGATTGATAAATTTCCATACATCCATCTTCAAAATAAAAGACACATTTGACCTCCAATAACTGTGTCTGAACTTAGAAAGACTTACAGAGATGGACGAATTCCAAGGCTCAAGTGTCCGGAGCGCATTTATCGTGCCTATGAGCTATGTCAATCAACTGCAACGCTTACTTGTCTTTGAGTGAAGAATTAAGTGCAAAAAAAAAAAAAAAAAAAAAAATCCAAGATTTTCTTCTTTGGCCTTGAACAAGCAGTTGGCTTCATGTGCACCACACTACCGCCACCTGTTGGTTGCTTTGCTCCCCGCACTGCACTTCCAGTCGACTCTCTCGTTTTCAAATCCTCGTCTTGTGTATGTATTGAGGTCTCGCGCCAGCCCTGCAATCTATTGTACATTTCTTTCTTTTTTTTTTTTTTAAATGACGATATAAATACACTCGCATCTCATTCCAACGTACCTCGAGGGACATCATGAATCTGTCCGTTATAACGGTCGTTCGTTGGAACCGTTTCCAACTCGAACTCTGCCGCGATTTTGTTGCCATTACGGATGACGGTCGAAATGGTCGACTTTGCCAACTCTTTGCTGAGCTTCATCTGGGAGACTCCCATTCGAAAGTGAGAGACAATTTCAGACTTCGCAGACAGCCAGATTGGCTTCCGTTGACCAGGCGTCTTTTCAGAGCATGTGCGCCGTGCCTCTCTGGAAGTCGTATAACAATGTATGAGTCAATCGGTCGCATTGCTAAGCAACGGAGGGAAATGCCGCGCCGTGCATTTTGTTCAGGTCGCGGCGGCAGTTCGCTTCCTACAGTTCAACGAAAGCCATTTCACTCATTGATGGGCAAAATCCGGTCATTTTAATGAGGTTTACGTTATAAAGGTGTTCGTTGTAAGCGGCAAATGGAAAATGAATGACGGGAAATCGGGATTTTGAAATGTGAACGTTACAGGGGTGGAAACGTTGTCAACGGGGTACTTTGAAACAGATGAGCAAGGTAGCATTTCGTTGCCCACTGCTACTGTTTAGCGTGTGTATGACAAATAAGCATCTTGAATCTTAAAAGTGCAACACAACTGAATTGTACTCGACAGTGATACTTTGGCGTCCTTCTGGAAGAAGCCCTCATACCCCTTTTATTAGGTAGGAGTCGAGATGACATTTGGCAAACTTGCCGTGACTGACGAATGGTAGCGACTTCACAGAGTTGCTGATGGCAAAGTGCTTCACGAGTACTGTGGGTGAAATTTCCACTCTGCAACGCTTGCCTGGATGGGCCCAGTAAGGGCTCGGGAACCAGTCCGGGGTGTCGTCCGCTTTTGGTCTTTGCGCAGCTTGGGATATTGGGCCAAAACCCTGCCGGCCAATTTCAGGATCCATGCCGCTAAAGCTAAAAGAAGAAAATACTTTGAACTCGCTGCGAGTGATATTTATTTGCTTTGCGATCCTGACCACAAATCACATCCGCAGCGCAGAACCTGCGCATTAGCAAACACACCAAGCATCTGCTCCCAATGATTTACGAGGAAGCGTTTCCTTTCTATGTCAACTCTTGTCCGCTGCCAGGCTACTGCTGCGGATGTCATCGGTGAAACCGAATGGGCCTCACTTGGACAGCGGTGTCGCTTCGTAGCATCGACGTCACTTCACTTGTGGGGAAGTCATTCTCAAAAAACAAACACCAATCATTTGATGGGAAGGTGCTCAGACTCTGTTTGTATTTACTCCGGAAGAGCGAGTCGAAAGAAAACAAGCTTCTGGTCCAAGGTCAATGCTAGAGGAAGTCGCGATGATATTTCCCGACATCACGCTGTTATTGTTTCGAGCCGAAGGCCAGGCCGCCCTGTCATGCGGCAAGTCGTTCAACTCGGTCGTCCGACGTTTGGGTGTCATCGTTCACCTGACGTGTTCATGGGGACCTCGATGTGTGTGTGGTGTGGGAACCAAATGCGTTCCCAGAGCGACCCGCGCACGCGGAAGACGGGCCGACGTCACTCGTCTCCGAGCGTTTGCGCAGTATTGTTCTTTTCCAATCAAAGTCAGCAGAATTACAATCACCTACTTTGAAAAAGAATCTTGAGAAAGAAGAGCGCTCGCAACGGCGGCTACATCGGTTCAGAGAAGTGTTTGGATTCCATCTACGACCGCACATGAATGTCACCTGAGTCACTTTGGAAAAGATGACAATTGATCCTCCCAAAAAATCTGATGCACATCTGGGCAAAAAAAAAAATCTGATTTGTTTCGCATCGGCCTTCAGTTTGAACGTGGCCTTGGTGAATCGAACTCAAGTCACGGTTGATATCGAGCGTACCCGAAAAGAGGCAGGTGCTTTACTGTGATTTATTCATTCCTTCCGTTTGTTCAAATAATACCGGGTTCAATGTAAGTCTTCCATTAAGTTGTAGTAAAGGCAGTGGTGAAAATGGTGAGTGGAATAACAAAAAAAAAAAAAAACTGTCCTAAAATTGATAGAAAATCGATCACTTCTACAAAGTCACACGTCCCGAATGTTGTTGTCGTTGCCGTTGCTGTGTTGTTGAGCGCTGGAATTTGTCCGAGGGCATCGCGAGATGCTTCTGCGTGTGGTCTCTGTGGGATTGTTTGGCAGTATTATTTTTTTTTTTCAGTTGTCTGATGGGACTCCGGGGAGCCGATGAACAGCCCGCAGCGGGCCCCGGCCAGATGGTCGCAAAGGCTGTTAGATAATAACCACTTAAGTGTGTTTCCGCAGTTCTCAAACTTACAGCGACTCTCTGGGGTCTATTTAGACGGAGGCCAACAACGCTAACACGATGAACACCGTCGACATATTTATATGATTATGATGTGGGGGAAAATGCTTTTCTTGAATCATGCTGTGTGAGCGCATGCCAGGGTCATGCAGAAGAAGGTCAATGGATAATTTGCGTGGCCGCGGGGCGTGTGTTGCTCCATGTGACATCAACGCAATCATCCACAGTCTGTGCGCGAGGGCCCGCGAAGGGCCCCCCGGCGCTCGACAGCTCGCAGCCCAAACGTTATATTGATTTTGTGGTTTTGTTATTTTGTTTTCGAAATATTGTATTTGCAGTTTTGCAACAATAACACCCTGTAAAGTGAATTCTTAACATACATTTGAAGACAGTTGCTCAAAACGTGCAAAGACCACTCGCTATATTTTCACCGTTTCAAGTCTTCGTTTTATGTTTTTTTTTTTACTGCGAGAAACACAAACTCAGCCACAGGCAGAATTTTTTTTTTTTTTACAGTAGATTAAAGTGAAGTGCAAGACATTTTGGCATAACTTGAGGTATTCTGTCACCAATTTGTTCAAGCGTAAACATGTGCAGAACTTTAATATTTTGTATAACAAACTCAAGGAGGGATAGAAAAAAAATCCATTCAACACATATCAACTCAAAAATCACAAAAATACTCTTCACCAAACGATGATGCAGTACATCAAGACCAATTCCATATTGCTGTTGTGATATGTTGCTTGGAATCATTTTTTGTTTTGTTTTTTTTTAGCGCGTAGCCCCTTCTGGACCATTGACGTTGTTTTGCGCGCGGCAATTTAGTGGAGACGGAGTTTTCGGGCAAGCATGTCCTCTCGTCTGTTCTGATGTCGAAGTATCGTTGGAGAGTTCAACAACGGTGTGTTCTTGGAGAGTTGTAACGCGATGTTCCATGGAGGGGCGCCTTCTGAACGCATCAGAGAGATCTCCGCTGGCCACGGGCGAGCGTCCTCTTGACTAGATCCTGGTACAGTTTGGACTTGAGGAATCGAGGATAGGAATCTTTTTCCATGAGAGCGTAGATGAGAGCTTGAGCTTCGTTGAGGCTGCTGGTGGAGGGCTCCTCCAGGCTCCGTTTGGTCTTCTCCCTGGTCCGGTAGTCAATGTTCACCTGGCAGAAGAAAACGGCACGCGGAGCCATTGATTTGATACTTCATTTGTTCAATCCAAACTTTCCCAAAAATCCATTGGTCTACAATCGCATGCACGATTGAAGCGAAGATCTACAAGGCTATATTGCCGATCACGAAAGGGTCGGCCACAATGACCTCTCGCGGTGCCTGGACATCGATGAATTCCTTGAAGATCCGATTTGCTTTCGACAGAAGTTTGCTTGAACTCTTGAGTTTTTTGTAGTCCTCGCAGGCCATCCAAAACTCGATGTTCTCATCACTAAACTCGGTTTCGAGAAATGCTCGGAAGGCGGCCAGACCATCTGCACGTGCCAAGACAGAGGGGGCGGGGGAGACAAACATGTCAAGGTAAACATGATTCATATCGCAAAGTAGCAACAAGCCCCCCCCCGCGATATTCTTCAGAAGGTTCTATGAGGCGACTCTTGTTCCCAGAAATGTTCGAGGGCTGTTTTCGCGAGAACACAAACAAATCATTAGCAAAGATAAATGATCAATTTATACGCCAGCGCAGAGGAAGGGCATGTTTTTCTACACACCCAGTGTCAGGTTGACATCTCAATTCCATCCGTCTCGTCTCTGTTGTTGACAGAAGCAAGAGTGGGCAGGATGGCTCATCTGTAAATATGCAACATGACTTGTGCAGCCCTCACAACATGCTGTTTTGCACAAGGACGCACAGTAGCACTGTGCGTGCACGTGTGTGTGTGTGTGTGTGTGTGTGTGTGTGTGTGTTTTCACTTATACACGTATACACACGTCTATCTATCTATCTTTTTGTTTGTTTTTTAATTTGGACTCACAAGGTGTGTTATATTGACATACTACTAAATAGGAGATGCAAAATGGCAACATGTCCGAGATAAAAGCGCTATACAAGTGAACGCCCGTTTAACATGCATAGTGTAGTGGTGTCATTTCACGTTTTTCTCCTCAAAGCCCCAAAACAGAAACATGTTGACTTACATTTGTGGGACAGAACGTGATCAAATGATTCAGACCATCGAAGCACCTCATCTGTTGACAATCTGAGGGGGAGAAAAATGCCTCGGTGAGAATGGCCGTCATGCATTTTAATGGCTTATGTAATACCGAAGGGGGGCATGATTTTATGTATGATTTACCCTGCGACATATGCAGAGTGGTTGGCCCGCTGGAGGCTCCAAGGTAAAGTGTATTTTCAACTTACATGCGTTATGGGGACCGGTAGTCGCAAAGTGAGTGTAAAAATTTAATTGGAAAAGCAGTTACTCTTCATGTTCAGGGTCAGGCTTAGACATCGTGGAATAAGGTCAGTGAGAGTTGAAGATGGCGACTTGATGAAGCCAACGCCTCATCTGTAAAAATATTGCGGTCACCAAATCGGACCCCCTCAACAGCCTCGGCTGCGCCAATGGTCCAAATTTTTCAAGTGGCTGGAGAGAAGGAAGTCTGGGCTTTGCCCCGCTGAAGCTGTTGCTCCGTCACCTCACGCAGGACAAGCGGAAGAAAACGGATGGGCGGATACACTCACTTCAAACACCTGGCAGTGGTTTCATGGGCTGGGGCCAGGAACTCCGTCAAGTCAGTGCAGGAGTCAGATTTGTGAGAGAAACATCCCAGTCTGGTCTTCATGGCACTAATCCTGTGGAATAAAGAGAACACCAAATCTTTGAAAAAGGTCTAAGAGCACCCAAAACGTGTTCAAGTGGCAATCGTATCCCAAATCTTGGGATACGATTGGCAGGTCATTCCCAACTCCACCCGGATTTGGGATCATCTTCGGGGGGAACACTATGCATACCCTGTATGGGATTTCACGGTAGTTAAGCCACCACTGCGCATGGCACACATTTGGATGAATACACCCCCCAGCCCCCTCACCACACCCCCGCCCCGAGTTCCCGCTACACTTATTAATTCCACATCAAATAGGTTCAAGGTGAACATCTCATTTTATGCGCCTTATTGAGTTGTGTTTTCCGAGCAGGTTTCCTCTTCCCTCCCTTCTGATCAATTGCTCTGTCAAGCTCTGCAGTAGGGTGCCGACACGTGCTTCCACTGCACTATTTTTAACAATATCCTGACGAATCTGTGCAGTCAGGAGGAAACGGTGCGGCCATGCAGCAAAGGCCGGCTCCCGGAGGGAAGGGGCTAAAAATAGCAACAGCAAGCACCCCAAACACACAACTCTTGTATTGGAAAGAGCGCGTTGGCTCGTTGTCCTTGAAAGATGCTCGAAGGCTTTGTAAGGAGACACAGATGTCCATCATTTTGTCCGTCGCAACATCGTTGACGTTAACTTGCTGCAGGGCGCTTCATTTTCCCCCTCCTTGTCCTCATTTCTAGGCGTGTGGCAAACTGCACATTTATTGATGACCTCGTGGAAAGCGAGTGTGCGTGGCCCGCATGCTTTCGTGGCTTTTCTCTGAGCGTTCCAAAATCAAGTGGAGAGGAACCGAAGACTCGAAATTGTCTGTTTGTGCCCTGCGAATGGTTGGGGACCAGTTCGGGATCTCGACCGCCTCTCGCCAGCTGGGATAGGCCGCTGCTCGGCTGTGACCCGCTTGAAAGGCGGCGTCAACCCAAAAAAATAAAATAGAATGTTCAAATGTGAAGGAAATCGCATTTATTCACTCACCAGAGATTTGACAAAGACAAAGCTGCCCTGGAACACTTTGATGCTTTTAATCTACTCTCGCCAGATTATGTACGGGATGTGAGCCGCTGTTTCTATGTTGAATCTCACTCATGGAATCTGTGAGAAGGACAACATAAGATGAGCACATTTAGCAATTCAAACACTCATACAAGAAGAGTAGGTTTAAAAAAAAAAAAAAAAAAAAAGTGACACCGCTGTTGAAAACACTGCCCGTTGGCAGATTTTGTGGCTCGTGCCAGTTGGAATTCCATTCTGCAAAGCAAAAGCCAAAACACAACACTCGGAAATGCCACCGGCTCGTTTGGGCCCAAACTTGTCAGAGAATGATTGACGTAGAGTGGAAAAGTCTGCTCTGGTCTGACGAGTCCAGATTTCATCATCATAATAATAATAATAATAATAATAATAATAATAATAATGAATAATAAACGGCATGGAAAAGGACCATTGCAAGTTTTATCAGTGCAAAGTTCAAAATTCCAACGTCTGTGATGCTATGAGGGGGTGTTCGTGCCCACGATTTGGAAAACTTGCACATCTTTGAAGGGACCATTTCATGCTGAATTGTGCGTACAGGATGTGGAGCAACATATGCTGCCACCCAAGCGGCGTCTTTTTCATGGACGCCCCTGCTTATTTCTGCAAGACAACACGTGTTGCTGCTGCGTGGCTTGGTCATCAAAGAGTGCGGGCACGAGACTGGCCTGCCTGCAGTCCCAACCTGCTTTCCAAAGAAAATGCAAAATGCCACATCGGAGACAGCGGACTGTTGAGCAACACCGCGGTAAACATGCCCGCGTCGCAGATTCTTTCGCAAGGCGTTGCAGACATGCAATTAAACATTCATGAATATTTGCAAAAACAATCAATTGAATGCCTTTGAACATGAAATACAGTCATCGGTTTTTGCAAATCGCAGTATTCTAGTTTTACTGATATTCCAACTTCACTGGAATTGGGATTTGTTTCAGCAATCGTTTCATTTGTCTTTGGCGCTAATATCCAAACGGTCTTTTCATCATCGTTGTTTTCCCTGAATCAACAGAAAGCCTCCATTAAAAGCTGTCGATTACAATCAGTCAGTGAAGCGTGAGTCGAGAGCAACCACTCACATCATACGTTGAGCTCCATGTTCACAGAATAGTTACATAACACTATCAATTAGTTAATGAATATTTGTCTTTTACCTGGATTCTGTTGAGTCTGTGCAGAGCAGATGAGGTCCTCGTCTCCTTTTTTTTTTTTTTTTTAAATGTGCTATTTAGTAAGATGCGGTCTTCGGTGCAGCTGCTACCGGCGCTGTGCATGTATGAACGTGAACAGCTCAGAAGCAAACATGTCGTATGTTCCAGACTGCGCTCTGTGAGCCCGTGGCGGCATGCTCATTGGCGTGAAATGTGGGAGCGAGTGGAGAGAAGTGAGAGACAAGAGAGGGGTGCAAAGTGAGCTTGGAACAATCTTCAAGGACAACCCTAAGCACATCTTCAAAGTTACAAAGTGCTTTTTGCACATTACGATTGAGCAGACGGAATAGGGCACAGTCCAGGAGAGAAGATAGAAGAATCCTGTCTCTCTTAATTCATGAGGCTAGTCTTGGGCTCGCGCATCTGTCACATCCCTGGACAACCTCGAAGCTCGCCCTTTTGATGTCCACATTAGTCATCGACCTCTGCCAGGGCCACGAAAGCCCCCAGGCAACTTCGCTTCTACACACAAGTTGATCAATGGGGATTGAACCCACAACTTCATGGTACACATTAATGGTGGAAAAACAACATTTCTATCAGCCGAGGCACGTGACTCTCAAGGACCTGACAGAGCTGAAAACGAAACCCCCCCAACCAAGTGGTTCCTGCTCAGCCCTGCATGACTCCCCAAATGCCTGATTTGAAAAGCCCCTTCTTTTTTGGAGTTGCTGTCCTCTTGTGGTCATAGGGAGGTATCACACCTAACATGAACATTCCTTCATTTATTCATGGTGGAGACGGTTCATTCATTTGGTTCTAATTTGCACACAAAAATGAAACGCAAATAATAGATGCCCCAGATAATTAGAAAAAAAATGTTTCAGATAAACATTTAATTGTGTTGCTTGGTTGCTGTGCAAGCTATTCAAAAGATGAAAGCTATGTTTTAATCTAGTCAGATCTATGACGTCAGTTAATTCCTGACCGAATGTGATGTTCTCATTTTCGCCGCCAGATGGCACAGTACAACAATATCCGTTCCGTCACGTAGTTCCTCTCCCTGATTTTTTTTGTTTTTTTGACAAAATCTTTCTCTGAAGCTTCTCTGAAGCACAACATTTGTGCTTCAGAGAAAGAAAGAGAGAGAGAGAGAGAGAGAGAGAGAGAGAATGCATATTTTCTCCCCTTTGGCTTTGCTATTTAAATCTTTTTAAAATGGTCGACATGCAAATCAGTCTCGTTTTCACTAATAGAGATTTTATTTCTGTCATTGGTCAAAGAGTCACTTCATGACTTGACTTTTTTTTAAGCACTGTTTTTCTGTAAAATGACTCGGTTGTCTTTCAATGGGAGATCATCATCATCACGGCACTTCTGTCAAATCAAGTCACTCAATCCACTGTTTGAAATCAAAGACATGGACTGAAATCAAGACTGGGGCCGAAGTTACGTCTAAGTTTCTGTATGGCAGAATCAATCATTGCTTTGTCGGTTAGCATGTGGCCTTGTGGTGAGAGATATTCACACGAAGCTTTATACGGACAGAAATGCAAAGCAGCGCAGTATTGGCCACCCAACAAGGAACGACAGAGTGCGCAAGCATAATGGCCCAGTCAATTTTAAAATGGTCGACATGCAAATCAGTCTCGTTTTCACTAATAGAGATTTTATTTCTGTCATTGGTCAAAGAGTCACTTCATGACTTGACTTTTTTTTTAAGCACTGTTTTTCTGTAAAAGGACTCGGTTGTCTTTCAATGGGAGATCATCATCATCACGGCACTTCTGTCAAATCAAGTCACTCAATCCACTGTTTGAAATCAAAGACATGGACTGAAATCAAGACTGGAGCCGAAGTTACGTCTAAGTTTCTCTATGGCAGAATCAATCATTGCTTTGTCGGTTAGCATGTGGCCTTGTGGTGAGAGATATTCACACGAAGCTTTATACGGACAGAAATGCAAAGCAGCGCAGTGTTGGCCACCCAACAAGGAACGACAGAGTGCGCATAATGGCCCAGTCACTCAAATCTGCTGTTCCCCTCCAGTTTCCCTGGAAAGCCTTTTTTTTTTCTCGCTTTTTAACCCTGCGAGAACATAGCATAATTCAGGCAGTTTGATCTACCGCGATATGGGAGCTTGAGATGTAGTCTGCTTTCCCCATTGTTCTTTCTCACCTAAGAAGTTTTCCCCGGCCTGGAGCTGTAACTGATTATACATTAAGGATGAAATATGAGGAAGGGAGTTGGCTGGGATCAAGGCGGTTCTAATGAATACTGTCTTTTCATAAAACAGCCTCATTGCGGTGTATATTGTGCAATGGGTGGAAATGCAGGACGGGGAGAGTAATGAGCGTGTACGGGGGGGGGTTTAGCGTCACGTGCCGCCAGTGTGCGGGGGCTAGTCTCTTCAAGGTTACCAACAGCCTACGACGATGTGGCACATGAAAGCACACGCGGACTACTGTACTTGCTGGTGTTCGTTTGATTGTCTTCTACTTGGAACAGCGGGCCGGCGCTACTCCCTCGGCAAGGGCGCATGGGAGTTCGCCCGATCGCACGTGCTTTGTGTTCGACCTTATACCGCGGGGGATCTTGTAGGGGGCGGTCGGGGAATACAGGGTACCGAACGCGGGATGTTCGGTTCCAGAGGGAGTCCGGTTCGGTGACCGCAGTAGTGCATCGTGATGGGAAAATGAAACTTCAAGATGCTTCGCGAACCAGTTGTGGTGTTTATCGAGCCCTCTATATGGCGCTCTCTCTTCAACTCAGGGCTGAAAGTACACTGATTTGCCATTTCTTAATTTCCTTTCTTGAACTCAACAGTGCCATCTAGAGGAGTCAAAAATACAGCACCTACTTTAGGAAATAAGCAGGGCAAACACCCCCAGATTTACTGTCGTGTTTAATTCCAAATATGCAACGGCAAATTACAACCAACAAGGTGGGTGTGACAACGCTCTCTTGCTGCTGCTAAAACGGCCACACTGTTTGAGTGACTCAAATGTCAGAGTCAAGGTCAGACACAATCTGTGGATCACACTCTCAAGATACCATTTTCATTCAGCATTGGTAAGATTCTCTTATCATGTTACTTTGTACTTGATTAAAATCTGAGCAAACAGAAAGCACCGCTGAAGATTTTCAGGTGTAAAAATTTAATTCATGAACCACCGATTACAATTGCACTGAAAAAAAGGGCGTGTTGAATTGACTCCATTGTATTTTTGTCAAGTGGTTGCACGAAATAAAATCGTATGGATCCAGATTTGTGTGTGTTTTTTTTTTAATAAAGACGACGTACGGTCTATTTAAAAATGTACTTGGATCCAGATGATTTTATTTCGTGCACCCACTTGACAAAATACAATGAATTACATTCCACTAAAAGCTTTATCAGTGTGGAAGAGTGACGCAAAGTTAGACTGAGTGCGCTTTGACGTTTGCAATGGTTTCGCTTGACCTGCCCTCCCATTTTGCCTTGATCTCATTCATGGCGCAGCGTCCGAACATTGTGAGTTTTGAAAAGCCAAACCACAGGCATGGATTCCAAACACTTCATCAACCAAACACTTTCACCTCCAAAGTCTCAAAAATCTTTTCCTCCCCGCTGGATCAGTAAATCCTGTGATTCCGCTTGCAGTCATGACTCGAGCTCCGAAAGCAGCAGGGGGAGCACGAGTTTAAGGATGGGAATGTTTGTGAGGCGACGAGTGGGCCGAACACTGCTGCTACTCCATCCACCTGAAATGATGAGGAAGATTGGGGTATTTTTTTTTTTTTGTGCTCTCCCTCACTCCATAATGACTGCACTCTGCGTGGCGTGAGAAGACACCACTGCGAGCTGCAACTTATCCTGACGTGCTGCTGCCCTCGCGACACGTGACTGTGTGCAGCGAGACAGTCAAGAAACCTCCGGACACGAGGCTTACTTTATGGAGTTCTCTTGTGATTACAGGTAACAAAATACAAAAAAATGTCTATCTGTGTGGATGTATGTGAGGATGATAAAAAGACGAAAGTTTTCCCAGTGTTTGGCGTCTATAATGTTTCTGAAGCAACTGCAACTAGAACTTGCTTTACACCGGAGAAATATGTCAAAGATCGACTATTCACAACAGATGCGCTTTCCTGATTGAAAGGCGAAAAGGACCACGAAAGAGCTCTTCCTCTCACATTTTTCTTGAAATCCCAACGTTTTAAAAAATTGCACTATGAAATCGACAATAATACACTTATTCGTAATCAAGGAGGCACGACACCTGAAATCGAACCTTATCATTTGTCGATTAGCAAGTTCACCGGGTTTATTTCGGTGTTATCTTGTAATAAAATGATCATTAGCTCCAGACCGATATGCTACTGTTCAAGTAACACACGATCATTGAACGAATGCATTTATTGTGATGAATTCAACTTGAAAACCTCCAAATGCAATCAGTGCATTAAGATCAAGTGTTTTGGTCAAAGGGAAGATGAGCAAATTGAATAACATTTTGCAACAATCCATCCGCGCGTGGAAAAACAAAACAATGTAACACTAGAGGGAGTTGATGCTTCGTCGTGCACGCGGACGACAGCCACCCGCAGTTTTTTTTTTTTTTTTGCCAATATCACCGTCAAACGTGAGAGTACCTTGAGAAGAACAGAATATGATTGACACCCTGATGGATGAAGAACACACTCAAATCCAACCGTCCTTGCCAAAGAGCCATCTGTCACATTCTGACTAATTGGGTGCTAAGTGCTTCAATTGCAAGGGAGGACTGGGGAGATTTTCTTACATGCTCCCAAACATCGGGAGTGCTTTCCCCCATTGCACCACCAACTCCTTTAACAACTGACAGTCAACACACCATTAGGTTTGTATCACGATACTCAGATTGACAAGAAATAAAATAAACCTGGAGTAACTTTTTTTCTTTTTTTTTTTTTAATGCTGCTTTGTTGGCGGCTTCCAGTAAAGCTCCTGATATTTTGTTCAGTCAGCCTTGAGGCGATGAATACATTTCGGACACTCCAAAATATTGTTACTTTCACAGATTTTACAGAATATAGACTCACGTCGAGAAGCGTGCAAAATAAATCAATAAGTCCCACCCTCCAAGTCTGACTAGAATCCATAATATGATGATGGATACACTTGGATGCTTCAACACTTCTGCTGTAATCAATCCTGGGCGAGAAATTAATGTTGTAGTTGAACTCATTTGTCAAAGAGATGAATTCTTTTTTTACTTGTACAAAAAAAAAAAAAACCTGAACAGTAGCATTTTCTTTAAATACAGTACTAGAAGAACTGTGTATGAACCACGCCCCACGCCACTCCAGGTGCCTCAAAAAAATGAATATTCATCGCCATAAAAGTGTTATCAGGTTCCTATGGAAACACCGGAATCGGACTTAGCGGTCAACTACTCTAAACAAACAAGCAAAACCCAAAATACGAG